GATTTTTTTTTCAATTTACCTAATCCTTCCAACCGCACGATGGCCCTGGGGTCGACTCAGCCTCTAACAGAAGTGAGTATGAGGAATACCTTGGGGAGGGCGTAAAGGGCGGCCGGCGCGTAGGGCTGACAGCCTTGCCGACATCTATGAGCCGATTGTCTAGAAAATGTGGGAACCTTAACATCTCACAACCCTATGGGCCTTCACGGCCTGTTACAGGGATACCTTTACTTACTTATTAACTAAATTACTAAAAATGTGTATTTTTACTCGTACATCAAAGTACCATAACTGCGTACAAAAAGGCGGTTGCGCCAAAATTTCGTACATGGGTAAATGGATTCTTTGCTAATAATGCAGTTTTTATTTTAATTCAATTTTTTAAAAACTATTAAATACCAATATTATCGTGAAACGTCGAAGAATTGAGCATTTACGTTAAAAAAAACTTTGGTCGAGAGGAAACACAGGCGACTTTAAATGACGTTAGCCAACTAAGGTTGACAAAAGTTCGGTTTTCGGCTGACAATCTTTGGTTAAAATTTATATTTTCCTTTCGCAATTCTTGACCGGACGCAGAATGTCGGCTTCTTAAGTGGCTCGGAAAATACTTCGGTGGACTTCGCTTCCGGCAAAAATTTGTACAAGAATACGAGATTCTAAAGAATGGTTTAATTCTTAAAAAGAACTATTTTGGTTTTATGGATGTTTATTTCGTAATATTTTAGTCACTAACCAACAATAACCAGGACATTTTGATGCATGACAAAATGAAATAGCCGTGGATCCGCCACTAATTCTAACAGCTGCAGGTGTTCAAATGATTGGTTTTACTTTAATTTATAATTTTCAACCGCCCTTTACCACACTTGGCCCAACGTTGCTGGTCCAGTTTCTTTATACCAGTCTCGCCTCATGTTGCTGAGCCAATTTCTTCTATAACCGTCCACTTTGTCTTTCCACTTATATTAACTGTCATCACCAGCCGCTGGCTGCTGGGCTGCTACTGGTGATGACGGCTACAGCTGGCTTTACCCTGCTTCACTTATCATACTTACACACCTCTGATATTTAGGATAATGGGTTTAGTTTGGACGCCAGTAAACATACTATCAGTTTACAGATTTATGAAAGGGGTGAAGGATTGATAGGGGGTTGCTGTTGCTGGTAGCTAGTTCAGCCAGTAGAGCAAAGATTCTGTTCTCAAGGTCGTTTGGCAGGGTCTCGCTCAAAAAGGGGAGTGGGAACTCCTGTTATAACACACACACACACACATTGTTTCCCAAGACACTTTATTCTTACTGGGTTGATGACGACTGCCTTGGAAACACTTGGTTACACTTGCTTATTAAGTGGAGTATCACACCAATTGTCGTTCAAATACTGAACTGCTTACTGGGTTTCAAATATAATTCCGGTATTATAATTTCAACTTAACTTGTACTTTAATTTACCGTTTCACTCACACTTTATGCGTAGTCAGCCCATAAATTTTACATAATTTATAACAAATTTCGGAGGGATGCAGATTTTGCGTCCGGATGGTTCTTGAGTTGGAAAAACTAACTTAGCAGAATGACTTCTCAAAACTCGGAGTGCTGACTTTCTTGGATCAGCCCACCAGGCAACTCATTATATTCTGAGGATTGTTCACTTCGAAAAATAGGAGTACACTTCATTAACTATTCCTCCAATCCGTTTAAGGAAAGGGAATTTAGACTCTAAAGACTTAACGTCACTTTTGACAGTAGCTTGATAAATGCTATGTTTGGCTTGGGTCGCAGGAACACCTCTCTAAAAGTTACGATGTTCAAAAATTGTCACATATCATATTCTCAAAGGATTCCGACAAGTAAAATTTTGAGTAAAATTCTAAGAAAAAGCTGTGGGAGTCCTTCCTGTTTCACTTTGTATCTGCATTAACCAGTCGTTTTTCTTCCTTTTCGAGAGTTGTGGTAAGCCTCCTTCTTGAGAGCAAGAAATAGCCTATGTACTGTAACCGCACCATGCAGGAACCTCAGCAATGTTTTTCATTTATATTCTTAATTATAATGTACTACATGTAAACGAACTGTATTACTGTTAACAAAAGATGAAACGCAATTGACCCCAGCACCAGCAGACGCCAAGGACGACATCTGGTCTTTCTGAGGAACAAGCTAGCTGCAGGTCACTTGAAACCCCCAGAACGGAGCAGGAAGTATCCTGCTGTGTTTTCTGGGAATTTCAATGCTTGACTTCGACGGTGCGAGTCTTTGAAAATTTGAGACTTGACAGATAAGAGTCGCAATAATTTTCGGAGGGGTGTACCGAGCGATTGTTAGCGTACTTTCATTTATTTGAGAGCTGTCAGAAGGACCGTCTTGTACTTAGGCCCAAATTTACATGGATCTTATTAGGGATTGGCGGAATGTCAATGAGAGTAACACCCAAATTTTAGGTTCAGCCAATCAGCAAAATTTCAGAGGAGAGGAAACCGGGCGCTCCCGGAACCGTCAGGACTTCTGCCTCTCCAGAGCAGTCAGTCGCAAAAAGGGAATAACAGAAGCGAGTCATCAAAAGGGAGTAACTGGAGTCAGTCGCCTTAGTGAGTAACAGGAGTAACCTCCCGGACGTTAAATCGGTGTTGGCCGAATCCGGTACACAAATTCAAAGTGCTACAGCCCTGTAATGTGTAATTGTAGTTCACATCTACAATAAAGAGCAACAGTGTTGGTGAAGTGCGAGCTTTAAGTGTTCTCTATCTCCTTGTGTGTGCAAGGCCCAGAAGTTGCCCTGAGACAGATTCTTGTCCTACCGTCTGAGCAGTCGGAACCCCAAACGCCCGCCTATCCATATCCCCACGTTTGTTTTCCCCATTCCAAATTCGTGGATTTCACCCAAGTCCACTGGCGCCCATACAAATTCAAATTCAGAGTAATCCCACACCCTACCCTGAACCAGACAGCAACAAGGAAGCGGCGGATGAAAGTGGAGACCAACGTGAGGGCACTAAGAGGACACTTATAAGTGGCGAGTTATAAGTGCCGTCCAACTTGTGAGGCTTGAAGTCTCACTGAGTGGGTGACAACAGTTACAGTACCTCTTGTACATTTGTTGTATGTACAAGTAAACCTAATCGAACATGGTAATTAACATGGATCAATACCTGACACTAAATTAAATCAAGCTGAGGTTGGCAGTACGGTTACAAATTGTATGTTTCTCTGTTGCTTTCAACAACAAAAGCTGCCACGAGTCAATTTCCAGCTTAATTTGGGAGTTATAGCAATGGTGTAGTGACCACTGACCGGTAACTTGGACTCCGTTTGACTTGGCATCTAGGCATAATAATGCCAAACTGTGTTTAATTCGGAAATATGAATAATTCTCGTACTCCTCCAAAGGTAAAAAAAAAACGAAAGAAAGAAAGAAAGAAAGAAGGAAGAATCAAGCAGACACTGTCACTTTAATGAAGAGTGGACACAAAATGAGGAATTTTTGGACTTGCCGTCAAAAGAAAACGACAATACAGGACGTTGTAAAGTGTGCTGCATAAGCTCTACAGTGAAATATGATTCAGTGAAAACAGTAAGACATCATGCAAGAACAGAAATTCATATTAGCAAAGTGCTGACAAATTTACAAAGTTCAACTTTTGACAGATATTTTGTGAAAACCGGAACTAAAGAAGAATAAGAAGTGTCTTGTGCAAGATTAGTATTTACTTATCATGGTGCCAAACACCACCACAGCATTCTGTGCCAAGACTGGAAATTCACTGTTCTTTTTTATTGTCCTTACATACACGTATTTTAAATTATCATCCAAAATATACTGATTGAAAATGCATTGGCACATCACTCACTACAATTATTTCTGAAAGAGGTAGGCATTTGAAGAAAGCAGTCTTCTGGGATTTGGCACCGTGTATATGTGGTGTTAACCGACGTTTCGGAGGAACGTATCGCCTCCATCTTCAGGGTAGAAGGAAAAATATAAGAAATCCGCAAGCGAAGAGACCGTGAGAACCGGCAAACGCAGACTGATGTTGGAAATATACACAGCTATGTGAGAGCAGGAAGGAAGGGGGGAAGGGCAAGTATACAAGTGAAATCAGTAGTGT